AAATAAATAAAAATATATATTTCTAAAAATTACAATTTTAGCTAAATTTTCTGACAAATCCAACATAAAGGTAGAATTGTATGGCAATTAAATTTAACAATGTTTGTACTGCATAAATAGTGATGACTTTTTTTTTAAACACCACTACTCTTGTTTGGTCTTGTATATATGATCTAATAAGGCTGGTCTGACTAGCTCAGGCAAATGCAGATGCAAAAAAGCACATTTTGAAACATATGTGGGTGTTTTAGTCTCAGTGATGGAGGCGGAGCGTAAATCAGGACTGTATTTTTCCCTCCCACACACAGATAACATATGAGTGTATGTTAATACATTAAATATAAGAAAGCAGAAAATGTCTATGCTGGAACTGTACAGAATGGAAATGAATGAAATGTGGGTCCTGCTTTATATTAAGCGGCCTTTATTAAGATGTACTTGCCACATAAAATAAGTACAACACTTCTGGTGCTCTTGAGGAGGGACACAGGTATGGTTAGGGACAGTTCTGGGGGTATGGGTTGGGCAAATTCGGGATAAGGTAAGGGATGAGTCAACAGTGTAAACCTAAATGTAATTACAGAAATTAGTTACTGACGTAATTACAAATAAATTCTTGTTAAATGACAGCTTTCATATTTAAAGTATAAATTATTTTCTGTTTATTTATGGCATTATGGGATTTTAATCTCTGCTCTGTCGACTTTTGATGTTGAAAATTCAACTCTGCTGTTTAACAAATTGACTTTTATTGACAGTTTAGTAGTTTGAAACAATATAATAATGTAAAAAAAATAATATAAAGAGAAATAAGTATGTGTGGTGATCAGTGGTAAAATCAGGAACTTGTGGTAATTCAGTTGTAGAATTACATTTTTAATATGAACAAATACTGCAGCCAGTACTCTGACCCCTTTGCTTATCAGTTAAGTGTGGCAATGGAGACAGCGACACAGTCTTTTGTTCATCCAAAGAACAAAGGTGTTAAAAGGACAACTTGCAGAATGGCTTCTTGATCTAGTCAACATTTTCCTTCTAATCAGCATTTTCTCAGACACAGAGAGACAAGTGAATTACAATATTTCCATCAAACCAAGTGGGCACAAAACTGAATATTTCGCTTCTTATACCCAGGGCACAGTAGAACAAAGTGCACAGGGCCCTGGCAATTTAGGGACCCGGTGAAAGTGTGGTTTGCAATATTGGTGTTGTGCAAAAGGTTGCTTGTGTTGCTGCTTGAAGGGGGATGAAAATGTCTTCAGCTTCAGTAATTCTCTCCAAAGGATTCTCTGCATGTATCTGGCTATCTGAAGATTTTCATTGAGTTTGAATTCACACTATTCCAAGACTTGCAGTCTGCTTGTTGATAGATTTCTGCTTCTCAAAGCTCAAGAGACCCATGTCTACTTATTCTATGCATCAAGAAATGCAAGAAGATCCAGCTTCTTCTAACCACAGCATCAACAGCAGAAACGTAAATATACCACTTGCCAAACCTCTAAGAGAGACCTTGGCATAGTGTTTCAGTATTAAATACTCTAATTAATTAGATGTTCAAACTGTTATTCATTAAAAACAAAAACATCCTCAGTTGTTTGTTATTTTAGAATAAGGTTACTCTGATATCTTTTCTGAAGACAAGTCTGACAAGAGTAATTAATCCCATTTGTAGACATAATTTTAATTAAAAAGCATTATTGTTGATTATTGCCACAGTGGAAGCTGTTGCTGGTGCCCAGTTTAAAAGGAGTTATTCATCTGTTATTTACACACACACCTTAAGAGTGGAGTGACCAAAATCTCAATATTAATATTAATACTAATGTTAATGTTAATATTGGAGTCAAACCAACTAAATTATCACTACATTATTTGGTGCCCTATACAAGAGGCTAAAATAATAATATCAATACCGAAATATTGATGTTAATATTGTGATAAATTCAAAATAACACTACATCTGTAAAATAACAGAGCATGTACGGGCTTTTATTACAACATTCTTGTACCATAATATATAACATTAACCCAATATATCACTTTAAACTATTAAAAATGTTCATAAAATTAACTTCACAAATTTAAGGGGTAAAAATAAAAACATGAATCACAAAATATGGAAAATCCTAATTTATGGATATTTTTACAGTGCATGTACATAATAAGTGGATTGCACTAAACTGTGCATTTAAATATAAATAGTAATTAAGTACACATATTAAGTGTACTTAATTACTACGTACTTACATTTAAATTAAGTGTGACCAAAATGGTAAATTGTGCATTCCAGTTTTGGATTTGGAAAATGGGATGAAAACATCCTTAATTGCTAGAATAGCATGTAATATACTCAAATAATATTAATTAAAAAATTATAACTAATAAACAGGAAGTCACAATGACAAAGAAATAGTTGCCTACAAAATGTAAGACATAAACAGATTTATCAGTGAATGAATCAATAAATAAATCCACTCAGAGCAGAGAATGATGCAGAAATGCTTGAAGTCAATCTCAGTTATTAACTCTCAGATACTACAACCCACTGGATCAGCAGCCCACATGAAAGCTGAGCGGTGCACACTTTCTAGATTAGTCCCGTTTCCAGACACTCACGAGAGCACATTCACACATATGTTGCTCAATAACAACACCTTCATCATAGTGTTGCACTAACAGTGCAGAAAAAAATTCCAGTTCACAGCTACATCAGAGTCTGAAGAGTCTAAAGATTAAAATATTTAAAGTAACATTTTTGAGTTACACTTGATCAGCACAAACAAATCTAATCTCAAATATCTAATCTGTGAGTGAGGAATGATTGTGAAATATTGGTATCCACATTAAAGTGTTCCAAGTGGTGTGTGTGTGCGTATAAAGACATTTTCACAGTATGTCTGATAATGTGTTTTCTTCTGGAGAAAGTCTCAGTTGTTTTATTTAGGTTACAATAAAAGCAGTTTTTAATTTTTTAAAAACCATTTTATGGACAAAATTATTAGCCCCTTTAAGCTAGATATATATTTTTGATAGTCTACAGAACAAACCATTGTTATACAACAACTTGCCTAATTCCCCTAACCTGCCTAGTTAACCTAATTAACCTAGTTAAGCCTTTAAATGTCACTTTAAGCTGTATAGAAGTGTCTTGAAAAATATCTAGTCAAATATTATTTACTGTCATCATGACAAAGATAAAATAAATCAGTTATTAGAGATGAGTTGAAATTAGGAAAAAAATAAGTGTGATGGGTTGCAGCTGAAAGGGCATCCGCTACATAAAACATCCTGGATAAGTTGGCGTTTCATTCCACTGTGGCGACATACATACATACATCTAATATATAAACATATTCTACACATATTAGATCAAGTAACTTACTAGCAAGTAAGCATCTACTTTAATGTTTCAAATCAGTTTTGTGCAAATTAACTGTCAAAATGTGGGTTAAACAATGTTCCACTATCATCATTTAACATAATGGGTGGCATAACAGCAGGGTGCAAAATATACATTGGTGATCAGGGGGATCGACTTCTTCGGTAAGTTTTCAGTAAATCAAATTCATTTATTTACATAACTGACATCATTTTTATTAATAAAGGTATTTAAGTTTTCAGTTTCAGTGTTTTGAGGGATATTAAATGTATTCTGACATACAGTAACCTGATTATTTCAGAGATTACTGTAGCTGAAACTATTTAAATATGCATCTAATTGTACTTTACTTTTGGGCTATGTAAATATAAACACCTATTTTACGAGGAAAGTGCATCGTGACCGCTTACGATATCTTTTAAGATACAGATCAGGGAAAATTAGTTCTCACTATTTAAGAGCTGACCGACCAATACATCTTTTTTTGATGTCCTTTAGGGGGGATTGTGTTAATTAGAGGGGTCAATCCCCCCAAACCCTAATGTAATTCGCAACCTGCATAACAGGTATATAAAGTTGAAGTTATAATTATTAAGCCCCCCCCCCCCATTTCTGTTTAATGGAGAGAAAATTTCTTAAACACATTTGTAAACATAATACTTTTAATAACTCATTTCTAATAACTGATTTATTTTATCTTTGCTATGAAGACAGTAAATAATATTTGACTAGATATTTTTCAAGACACTTCTATACAGCTTAAAGTGACATTTAAAGGCTTAAGTTTAATTTTAATTTTAGGGTAAATAGGCAAGTTATTGTATAATGATGGTTTGTTCTCTAGACAATGTAAAAAAATATAGCTTAAAGGGGCTAATAATTTTGTCCTTAAAATGGTGTTTAAAAAATTAATAGCTGCTTATGTTCTAGCCAAAATAAAACAAATAAGACTTTCTCCAGAAGAAAATATATTATCAGACATACTGTAAACATTTCCTTGCTTAACAACATTTAAGAAATATATAAAAAAGAAAAAAAATTCAAAGGGGGCTAATAATACGGACTTCAACTAAAAGGACACATTTATTTTAATCTGTATTTATTCAAAAATAGTTTTCCTATTATTTTCTTAAATACTATATTTTCTCACGTTTAAATGGTTAAAAATGCATGTCTGACTATTGCTTAAAGCCCAGTTTGGAGGACTGTAGCAAAGTATTAAAATTTCACATAATTTGTTTTGGTAAAAATGTATGATAGTCATATCTTGTTTTTCCTCCTGAAACATAATCAAATTGACAATAAAAATTACACATTCTAATTTGTGGGTGAAAACGACAAAACTAAAAGCTGTATTGTTGTTATGCTAGAAAATTGTATATTTACAGATACTGAAGTATACTTTTACAACAAAAATTCTTTACAATAAATTTGCCAATTACAGATTCAAAACACAGTGTATGGAAAATGAATGGACAGGAACAAGCCAAATAATCCATAAAGTTGATCTCATGCAGTGTAAATGGAATAACATGTAAATATAATGCACAACATTTTTTCAATTTACTGTTTAACATAATTTTTTCCTCCTGCTAAATAAAAAAACAAAAAACCTATGCAGTCAAGTGCACTTTCTGCTGTGATTTTCTTCTAGATTGAACGTTTTTCTGAGTGAATCTCAAGGCTGCATATGTCAAATTTTCATCATCGGGGTCCTGAATAAAAAAGTGCCAGATTAACTTACATTTAAATTCACCACATTTGTAAACAAAAATCAAATGATTAACACTGACATAGAAATAAGCTACACTTTATTCTCATAATTCATACAGGCAACTCGAAATCATCGGATTACAATATTATTTACATGCTGTTTTGTTGCTTTGATTATTTCTGATTATTTCATGCTAATTATTAAATGAAAATGTTATGTAAATGAAACAAATAATAATAAGAAAACTATTGGGCAATTTTTTTTCTGAGCAGAACAAAACAACAGATTAAACAACATCAGCGTGTAATGCTACAAACAATTCTCTTAAAGCATCACTAAAAATATATAGATTCCTCTTTAATAGACTGCAAAATCATCATCTTACCTTAGCATTCGCATGCCCTCTGATATGATTGCCTTGTCTAGAGCTTTGGACTGTGTGAAAAGATACAAAAAAAATATGCTGTAAGTGTAATTATTAAAAACAAATGCAACTGAATGAATGCAAATGAAGAACACTGAGTCACAAACACACCTCTGCTAAATATGAAAGCAATGAGAGCAAAAATTAGTCCTCCACAAAGTCCTAAAGCACACGCCAAACCAAGCACTGCTGGATAGAGCCTTTCATCTGAAACATTTGCTGAAAGATGGATATTAATGTCTCTGAGAACGCATAAAAACTTGTAGAAGATTCATTTTAGTCACAAAATGAAAGAAATGGATTTACAAATATTTACACATTTCTGTTGTGCTGTTTTCATTGCATTTTTGTCTACACTCAATAGAGTTGTTCAGATGATCCAAATTTGAGGTCTGAGGTGCTGAAGCTTGATGACCTATACGGTTAACATAGATATAAAAATGCATAAATTAAATCCATAAATGTGATTCTGGATCACAAAACCCAGTTATGTTTAATAGTTTTTTGGAAATTGAGATTTACACATCACATTAAAGTTGGTTTGTTAAAATAGAAATAAATATGGTCACACTTTACAATAAGGTTCATTAGTTAATGTTAATTAATGCATTTACTAACATGAACAAACAATGAACAATACATCTACTACTGTATTTGTTCATATTAGTAAACGTTAGTTAATGAAAATACAGTAGTTCATTGTTAGTTCATGTTAACTCATGGTGCATTGACTAATGTTAACAAGCATGAACTTGGATGTTATTGATGCATTAGTAAATGTTCAATTATCATTAATAAATGCTGTACGAGTGTTGTTCATAATTAGGTCATGTTTGTAAATGCATTAACTAATGAACCTTATTGTAAAGTGTTACCAAAAATATTTAGCTGTGATACAACTATTGAAAATCTGGAATCAGGTTAAAAAAACTAAATTCTGAGAAAAATAATCTTTAAAGTTAAACAAATGATCTTTTGATGTATTTATGGTAATAAATTTACTAATTGTTTTTATGGAAGATGAACTTTCTTTAATATTCTAATGATTTTGGCATAAAAGAAAGCGATCATTTTGACTCATACATTATATTTTTGGCTTTTCCCACAAAACCTGTGCAACATAAGACATAAAGTTTTGTGGTCCAGGATTGCAAAATAAAATTTTAATTTTAAGTTATACATGCTAACTACAAATAGGCTAAATACATTGTGTAACATAATGAAATCATTATAATGCATACATTGTTTTTGACAATTATTGTGCTGATTTAAAAATAAATGTTACCTTTAATTTTCAGATGTGTTCCACTTCCAAACTCAATATAAAATGCTCTTGATGCACAATAGTACACTGCTTCATCTGACTGGATGATGTCGGAGATTGTCAGATTTATGCTGCTGCTCAGTTTTTTGCCCCAGAAACGTTCATTTTTAAATTCATTGTAAAATATGGGCTCCATCAATTTCTCAAATGCTGATATGACTCGAGGTTGTTGACCAGCAACTTGCTTGTACCAAAAAATGTTATCTTTGATCGAAATACACCGCAGAGTCACAGTGCTGCCAAGCTCCACAGTCAATACTTTATCTGGCTGATCAACACGAGAATGTGCAGCACCTGGGAAAAATTAAAATGCCAAAAAGCAGCTTGGATATTCAACATGAACTAATAAATAAATAGTACTTTACAGAATAGAGCAATAATTAGTAAAGATACAACTATTGAATATCTGTAATCAGATGGTTAAAAAAAATTTAAATAGCGAGGAAAATAACCTTTAGAGGTAAACAAATTATCTTTTGATGCATTTATGGTAGTAAATTTACTAAATGTTTTCATGGAAGATGACCTTTCTTTAATATTCTAAGGATTTTTGTCATGTACTAGTAATAAATATATTAGTAACACTTTCTACAAAGCATATGCTCACAGTGAATTATAACAGTTAATAATATTTTATAATCAAGCTTAACAATTCTATAAATGCATCTATAAAGACACAACAGAATTGAAATGAGCGTGATAGTGTTCATTTATATTTTGTATATGAATCGCTGTAACTACACTGTTTTAATATTGAGACTGCATCTTTATAAATACAATTATGACCGACTAATTAATACTAGTACATCAGGATTGAATGTGTTTGAATATGTAGATTAAAAAAAAATGCATCACTAATAAGCATTAATAACAGTATCACAAAAGTAGCCATATCTGTCATAATACAATAAAGGTTGTGTCTTACAGATACATTTAAAAAAATTGTTATGCTCGATTACAAATAATTACTTTATAAATATTATTAATAGAAAGTGTAACCAATATGTTTATCAAAATTGATCAGAATAACAAAGAGCTCTAAAACTAATTAAATCACAGCAATGGATTACAATAAATATTTCCAAAATTATATTTAAAGCAAATAAGCATGAAACACACAGTGGTACTTACGCGCAACACAAAGAACAGTAACAAATGCCCAGAGAATCATTGTAGAAATAGTATAATAATTTTTTGGGCTGTCTTTAAAATCTATCAGAGAGCAAAGAGTCTTATTGCAGTGCAGGAGGTCCTTTTATACGTGCTGTACTAACCACACAGTAACCTCGAATAATTACTATTGGTTAAGACTCTAAAAAAAGGGGTTGACAAAAACCGAGACAAAGGGGTTCATGTCACCCACATTCTTATAGCAGTAGACAGTCAAAGTCACTGATTCATTTGTGTTTTTATATGTTCCTTTTAAAAGGAAAGCCTTTGAGGACTGAATGTGCAGATTAGCTACACTGAAAAAAATAATGTCTGCTAAATTGTTGCAAACAATTTATGTTGAATTTAAACAAGTTAAATTTCGTAATGTTAAACCTAATTTGTTTGTTTAAATTCAACCCAAATCAATTGCTTACAACCACTTCACTTAAAAAAAACTAGTAAATCCTAGGAATCATCTTTGAATCTTTTTTTTCAGTGTACCAATATGTCTAGATAACATCTGTCCCAGGTTAATTTTCATGTTTTTAATTTATTCTGTTCATCAAGGCAGAATTTATTAAATGTAAAAAATTTTTTTTAGTATTTTTTACATTTTTAAATAACTGCTTTCTTATTGTACAGTTGAAGAATTATTAGCAGTCCCTCCCTCCACCCCCAATATTTTTTCTATTTAAAATATTTTCCAAATTATGTTTAACAGAGCAAGGAAGTTTTCACAGTATGTCTGATAATATTTTTTCTTCTGGAGAAAAATGTATTTATTTTATTTCAGCTATACAAGCAGTTTTTCAAAGGTCAAAATTATTAGCCCCTTCAATCTATATTTTTTGGTAGTCTACAGAACAAACCATTGTTATACAATAACTTGCTTAATAACCCTAACCTGCCTAGGTAACCTAGTTAAGCCTTTAAATGTCACTTTAAGCTGTATAGATGTTGAAAAAATATCTAGCAAAATATTATTTACTGTCATCATGGCAACGCTAAAATAAATCCGTTATTAGAAATGAGTTATTAAAAATATTATGTTTAGAAATGGGTTGACATTTTTCTTTTAGTTAAACAGAAATTGGGGAAAAAATAAACAGGGGTCTAATAATTCTGACTTAAACAGCATAAAGAAAATGTCAGCTGTCAAGTTTGTCCAGAAACGTCGCAGCAATATTTGTCCAACTTTGAGTAGTATTGTCTTTTACACCATCGAGCCTGCCGGTTACCTTCCAGCAGGGCAATGTCTCTAAAGTATGATAAAGTTGAGGGAGTGGATGGTTTAACCAGTAATTTGTAATAGTCTTATAAATAAATATGTAATAGTCTTTTTAGCAGCAGTGCTCACAGCTGATGAGGTCCTTTTCTAATGAGCGTTCAGTGTTTTAATTTATGAGAGGAATTACCAGTTTAGGTCAACTTTAACTCAAAATGAAGTAAACAAATCATTTGAAATATCAAGGATGCTCTACAAATTATTCTTTCAGTTTTATTCATTCATTTTTCTTCGGCTTAGTCCCTTCATTTATCAGGGTTCCCCACAGCGGGATGAACCGCCAACTTATCCAGCATACTGTATGTTTTACACAGAGGGTGCCCTTCCAGCTGCAACCAAGTACTGGAAAACACCCATATACTTTCGGATTCACACACATACACTACAGTCTATTTAGCTTATTCAATTCACCTATTGTCTATGTTTTTGAAAATGAAACCGGAGCACCTGGTGGAAACCCACACGAACATGGGGAGAAAAGGGCAACTTACAGAAATGCCAACTGGCCCTGCCTGGACTCAAACCAGTGACCTTCTTGCTGTGAGATGACAGTGCTAACCACTGAGCCACCCCGCCACCCCCTCTATTAGTATCACCAAATTATAATATATTTGATTTTATCCATCAGGAAAAGTATAACAAATTTTACATATTTGCAACAATTTATCTTTTTATTTACTTTTAATTCCCATAAGCAGCTTTTATTGGAACATTTACAATCTGGGAAATACAACATCATTTAGTCAGAATGAGAAAAAAAACTTAAAATTGGAATATCCATTGGGGTTATACAATAATGGCAGAAAATCTTTAATTCGTTCAAAACAACTATATATATGACAATTATTATTAATAAAACTTCTAAAAGAATTAGATTTTCTTTTAAACAAAAAAATAAATCTTCACCTGCCCCAGGCTTTGATTTGAAAATTCTAAGGGTAAAAATCGGATAAAATAATTCTTGATGCACCCCAGTGCAAATTTTATTCCAATTCATTTTCAAATACAGTTATTATAGTAAAACAATAATCAAACTCTTTGTTAATATTATTATGTATTATCAACAATAACATGCAAATAAGTAACAGTAATGATTACATAAAGACAACAAAAACTACAACAAGCATTTAAGAAATAATAAAAAAAAATCCAATCAGTTTGCAGTTATGTAAGAAGTGCAGTTATCTAGTTTTTGCACAGTCAGGATTTACTAATCATTTGTGCTGTATTATTATTATTGTATGTACATTTGTAAGAGTTTCACTTTTCAGATTCTAAATTTATAGCAGGAGAGGATTTAAATCATTTGCACTGTTTATAAAGACTGGCTCTTCATGAAATAATTAATTTAAATCTGAACATTCAATTTTAGAGAGCTGAATTCAGGATTACTGTCTGAGACAAGCTCACCCCCTGTATCCAGGGAGGAGGAACTTGACAAGGTGAAGCATTGCCCACTAAATCAAGGGAGTCTGAGCTCAGGTGGGTCTCAAGAACTCCCCTGAATTAATTATTTTGGCCTGTTCTTTGATTATTAGAGTTTGTGCATTGAAGCTTAGTACTAAATGCTCATATACAGTGCCACTTTTTATTCAAGCGCATGTCTTTGGATTGTGTGAGGAAACCAGCTGGAACTCGAACCAGTGACGTTCTTGCTGTGAGGCAACAGTGCTAACCCCTGAGCCACCGTGTGGATTGTGGATGGGAGGATTCTTTAAGACAAAGATAACTAGGTAATGTAGGGTCCAGCCAGTTGGTCCAATGACGGTATCCAATGGTGGATGAAGGTTCACTGCATGTTCGGTCTTTCCAGTGCACAATGTTGATTTATATTAAACTTAGCTCATATCTGACTCCAATTTTAGTATGAGGTGGTTTAGAATATTAATATATTTATCCTCGTTTTATCTGACTCCAATTATAAAACATTGATAAGATTATTTTGTTTCCTTTCACATTATTTTAGATTATGATTGAATATTCTTTTGATTTGTTATTATACCTTATTCTCATTTACTCAGATTCCTATAGCATCTCGAGTCTTGCACCGGCCGGGTATACAATCTCTTAATACAAGCTTGTCAGTCTTGGTCATTAAACAGAGGCGATTAACCACTCTCCTAAAAAGGCAGAACCCTACATTACTCAATTTAGGAGATTTTTATGTGGTCCCCATAGATCTGTTATCTACTTAATCAAGACAAAGTATTTTAATAATAATCGCACAGGATTATAAGTTTGTAGATGAAGGCCTAAATACCCACATTTAGATTAGTTAGTTGGCCTTTTACAGTCTAAGTATTCTTGAATTAATGCCAATTTGTTAGTCGAATCTCTAACAACATTGAATAGCGTGCCACGCTGCTCCGTCTAACATGTTTTAGTTCGTTACTAACCTGTACAGTGGCTTGTAGTGCTATGGACAACAACATTTACCAGTGATAATAACACGAGGTTTGAATAATTCAAAACAATTTATTAGTCAGGTAAATGTATTATGCCCAATTCAATCAGTTAATTCATAAACGATCAATACAAAACATCAAATTATCAAAGACAAATCCAAGATGAAAAGATGCATTCCTGACTTCAAAATATACATAACATGGAGCATGCTCCATGTTACGGGCTGATCTGGGTGAGCAGAATCGTCCTGAGCCTTTCTCAAATCTTACCTTAAATAATCCAAGAATTCCCTCAAGGAAAGGGGTGTGTGCATAACAAAAGGCATTTGCATTTAGTGCTGCCTGTGGAAAAGTCACACCCTTCACAGCGGTTCAAAAGATGCCTGAAGTTATATATTTATTGTTTTGATTATGTCTATTTCTGAGAGAATGAGACCATTGTACCAATCGCACTGAGACATTTCAAATGATATCAAACATGATAGATAAAGTCACTTTGGTTAATCTAGAAAATTCAAACATTGAAATGACCATATGTGTGAGTTGGGGTGGTTGAAGCCAAGTTTCAGCAGACTCAGATGCAAATGCAGCAGGAACTGGTTTTTCCCGCATTCCCACCTGCTGGTTGTGGTCAACAGTCTCTGTTTTCAGCTCATGTTTTGAATTGTCAAAGATATCAAAATATTTGCAATATTTCAACTCTTACAGTAAGAAATTCTGGTATTTTATAGTAAGTTTGAATTCATCTGATTGGTAAATCATGTGATGGCTAATGCAGAACCAGCCGTGGTCAATCGTAAGCACGTGATCCTCTCGAAATTAGTTCATAAATAAACTTCACTTCGTTACACATGCAGTAAAAGTGAAAAAGATGTAACATGAGGTGCCAGAATCATGGAGTTATTATGATGATTATTCTTACAGATTATTATTAATAATTACTTATTAATGTAGAGTGGAGAAGGGGTAGGACTAAATAAGCTTATGCTTCCTCTTACTCCTTTTACGGACATTTGTATGTTAAAACGGATTTGTTACTTTACCTATTTTTACATGTTTGAAATAAAGTCTAAAGGGAGGAGGAGTTGAGCCTGGCAAAGCTCCACCCACTACATCAAAAGGGGAGGAGCTAGACACCATTTGGCTCCGCAGTAAGAAAAACTGCATTTCCAACACAATCTCACTGCAATTCACAACTTTTTGATTTAGGAAATATTTTAAGTTTGTATGATCTCATTGGTACATTTTAGTAAGGATTGCTCATCACCCCTCAATGAGGGTTAGGTTTAGGAGTGAGATTTGGGGTCTGTACAAAAACACATATGCTTCTATACAAAAATGTTGCCACCTTTTCACAAATATGTAAAATAGTTATGAACTAGAAATAGTTGGAATAAAAAAGAAAACTGCAACAACAACAACTGGCTTTCCTTTTACAACACTT